CCGTATTTAACCGATTCCAGTTATACCGATTAAATCCGAATGTCATGTTAAGTCCAGTAGAGCATCTTAACATAATTAATCAGTTAAATTATCAGTCTGAGCATAGTCATTAGTTATTGTTTATATTATATTTCAGTTTGGTCAGGCATCAGCCGTCAGTACTACCTTTCATTTTCACGGATCAGGTGGGGACTCAGACTAAGTACTACATTGATTATAATTACGCTACCATGTTTGAGGTATGTATCATCAGTATCCACTCGGAATGGTCGCCGGTCCATTCTGGGTTCTAGTGGCCTTAATCTGCCTACTAAAGTGTGCACATGGTGTCCGGCTATGCCGACAGATGTTCGGTTATCAGTCAGGTGATTTATATCACGAGATCAGTATCAGATTATTCAGTACCAGTATCAGATATCAGTTATCAGTTTCAGTTTCAGTTCAGTTATATATGCCAGGATCATGATATTGTTATTATTTTCACTGTTTTACTTTAGTATGAGTTTCTGCAGAGCACAGTGTTTTAGTGCTCACGCCCCCACGTTATTCATGTTTTTCAGGTCACAGATTCGGAGACGAGGAGTGAGCTGACGAGCTGTTCAGGACATTTTTTATTATGTATATATTATGTTTTGGCTACACTGATGTTTCCGCTACAGTTTTCAGTACTTTAAACTAGTTTTTTACCCGACGTTAGTCGGTTAATATTTTTATAACTGTTTTTATTATCAGATTAAAAATTTACGTTTTTCAGAATCAGTCAGATTTTACGGTAACACTCCGAATCAGTCTTCGCAAAATAAATATTTTATTTATTTATTTAGAAAATTTGCGAAAAAGCATACTCTGATTTTCAGTAAATAGCGGGGTGTTACATAGACACCGATGGATTTAAGCCATATGGGATGTTGAGTTCTAGATATAGTTGCTGGCCAGTTGTTTTGGTAATATATAACTTACCTCCGTGGTTTTGCATGAAAGAGCATTATCTAATGTTGTCTTTAATAATTCCTGGTTCTAAAAGTCCTAGGGATAAACTTCATGTGTACCTTAAACCACTTTTGGAGGATCTAAAAGATTTATTTGTAAATGGTATGGCAACATATGATGCATCAAAAAATAAAACTTTTCATTTGAGAGCAGCAGTGCTAATGACCATTAGTGACCTACCTGGCTTGGGAATGCTTGCTTCTCATATGGTTCATGGAAATTTTGCATGTCTACCTTATGGTGAAAATGTATGGTACAAACGTCTGAAGCATGGTAATAAAACTTGTTTTATGGGTAATCGTCGATTTCTTCCTCTTGAGCATCCTTTTCGTTTGGACAAGGATTCTTTTGATGGAACAATGGAGCTTCAAGAAGAGCCACAAACTTATTATGACCGTCCAATTTTGGATGAAATCACTGCATTAGGTACTTTCAAGGACTCAAAAACTTACAAGTCACTAAGTAGTCTTTTCACATTGCCTTACTGGGATGCTAATATTCTTCGATATAATCTTGACGTGATGCATATAGAGAAGAATTTGTTTGAAAATTTTTATGGTACACTATCTGGTTTAGATGGAAAGTCAAAAGATAATTTACAAGCTCGTAAAGACCTCAAAGAGATGAACATTAGAGAGGAACTCCACCCACAATAAAAACCTTCAGGCAAGTTCTATTTGCCACCTGCAAGGTTTGCTATGTCTAAAAGTGAGAGACAGGCATTTTGTAAAGTGCTTCAAGGCATAAAAGTTCCTGATGGCTACTCTGCAAACATATCGAAATCTGTAAATTGTGCTGAAGGGAAACTTATTGGTCTCAAAACACATGACTGCCATGTTCTACTTCAACATCTCATGCCTATTGCTCTATGGGGCATTATTCCAGATGATATCACATCAGTAATGTTTGATTTGTCTACTTATTTTAGAGGAATATGTTCAAAAGTGCTCCGTTTAGATGACCTTGACCGCTTGGAACAATCAATTAAAGTTACACTATGCAAAATGGAGATGATATTTCCTCCTGGATTTTTTAATGTTATGGTTCACTTAGAAGTACATTTAGCAACTGAATGTAAGTTGGGTGGACCAGTTTGTTATCGATGGATGTACTTCATCGAAAGGTACTAATTTTTACTAATACCATTTCATTGTCTGGGTTATTTATTATATATAAGATAAAAAATTTGATGCTTTTCCATATGTTACAGGTACCTATGCAAATTGAAATCATATGTTCGCAATACAGCTCATCCAGAGGCTTCAATAGCGAATACATTTTTGGCAGATGAGTGTATGGTGTTTTGTTCTAGGTACTTAGAAGGTTTCTCCACAAAGCATAACAAACCATCAAGGAATGAGGAGAACCAGGATAATCAAGAATCTGACTTATTTGGAGAAGTTTCCTCTTTGTTTCCTCCTGTAGGAAAACCATTGGGAAGACCATCCAGTTTTATTTTAACTGATCTAGAGAAACTGCAAGCACATAGATATGTACTATACAATTGTAAAGCTATCATTCCGTACTTGATGTAAGTGTTACTGACATCTATCAGTATATTTTACATATGTTCCTTTAAAACTGAATCCGTGTTAATTTCTTTTAGAGAGCATGTTGCTGATCTCAAAAGAAGAAATCGTCAACGTCGTCTATCTTTGAAACAAATTGAGAATATACAGAATAAAGAGTTTCCGAACTTGTTCAGAGAACATGTGGGTATCATGATTTATTTTATCTTCAAAAAAGAGGATAAATTGACCTAAGTATATTTTGTGATGTTACAGATCATGCAGTTGGAGCAAAAACATGGTAGTGATAGCATCGATGAGGACATTAGATGGCTGGCTCGCGGCCCATTGGATGCAGCAAGAAGACACAGAGCCTTTAGCATCCGGGGTTTTAGATTTAGAGCCAAAAGTTATGACAAGACGGCGCAAAATAGTGGGGTTGTTGTGACTGCAAAAACATCAAGTTATTCTTCTACAGGAGATACTAACCCTATCCTTGGAGATATTACCTACTATGGCAGGATACTTAATATAGTTGAGTTGGACTATTATGGAAGATTCTCAGTGGTGTTGTTTAAATGTGAATGGGTTGATGTCACTCGAGGAAAGGGAGTGAAAACAGATAAATTTGGATGTACACTTGTGAATTTCTCACAGCAAATTCACAAGGGTGATAGGATTGAACATGAGCCTTTTGTATCTGCCGATCAAGTTGACCAGGTGTTCTATGTCGATGATGACTATAACAACCCAGGATGGTCAGTTGCATTGAAGATGAAGCCAAGAGATGATTTTGAGATGGGAGAAGAATGGAATGATGTAGAATGTGAACCTTATCATGTTAGTACTCTTGAGGACCTTTTTGCTAATTCACATAATAGTCGTTCGTGGATTAGGAAATATATAGAGGGTACAACTGTACAGGAAAAAGATGTAGATCTTAGTAGAAGTTCTGATGAAGAAGATTGATAGCCCATCAAAATTAAAGGTTAGATATGTTTGACTTTTTGTAATGCTCAATATTGTATAGCTGTACACAGATTATGTAACAGCTGACAAGTTTCTTTTACATGGTTTGTATTATTCAGGTCGTGGTCATCAGGCCCGATTCCGTTTGCCTAGTAATGTTCCTCTTATTTAGAAACTTTTTCTCTTGGCTTGCCGCTCGTGCAGTTTTTGACGCCCTTTTTTTTATGGTTTGTTGTTGTTTGTTTAGCAATTGCCCATGTCTTTTGGGGTTGAGCTCCAGAAGAGTTCAGAGTATGAAGGTTGGCTCAGACCTTTGCTTGACGATATTGGAAAGAGCTGCCTTTGGGAATCTGTTGCTGCCGTTGAATTATGTAGAAATCTGCTGGCAAGAATATCCAGTTCACTTGGGTTTAATTGTTCAATGTAGAAATAGTCCTGGGTTATTTTCATCTATTTTTCTTAGCCTACTTTTCGTGGAGGTATAGCTTTTGGATAGGCATTTTTTGTTTTTCAGCCAATCAAACGTGTCTTTATGTTGTGAAGTTGAACACAACTTGCTTAAGAATTATGCACTTTAATGCGGTCTGATGTTTCTCGCTTTATCGAGTGCATTTCTCAAGCTCAAGTGTCTCTGAAGACCAGAAAGAGTTTACACTATACTCTAAATGAGAATTTAAAACATCCTGATTCTGAAATACAGGTCTTTATTTTCACACTCTATTAACTTTTTTTTTTTTATTTTAATGTCATACAAGTTATTTTATTAAATCTTTAATATATATTCATATTTATATATTATATTATACATGTATATACTATATATAATATATAAAATTTTAAAATATTTTTTTTGTTCGCGAACGCTTGATTAGTTCGCGAACTTTTTCGTGTTCGTTCGATAACTAAACGAACATAATTTCTTGTTCGAGTTTGGTTCGATTGCTAAACAAACGAGTTTTTATCGAACACGAACGAGCTTTGTTCGCGAACAGCTCGGTTCGATAACAACCCTAACTACCATGATCGTACTGTGTGGACAGTGTTATTTTGATCGTTGTGCATTTTTTTTAATATGAACACGATCAAAAAATTATGTTATAATAACTCCAGCAACACTATAATTCTTAAGTTGATGTATTTATATATATTTCAAGATTTGATGCATAATTTGTATAAACATTTGGTCTTTTGTTCTTATTTATTTTTTTATATTAAAATAAAATTCAAATTATTTAATAAACATAAAATCTTGTACGAGATGATGGTCTACCGCTAAACAGGTTGAGTCATCAGATTTTTTATGGATCGTGAATCTCTTCTCTTGTAGGGTTTGTAGGGTTTACTTGCCGCCGCCATTCATCTTGTAATCTATTTTTATTTTAAACTCAGCTTGTAGGGTTTCCAGACACTAATAACCCTATTTTTATTTTAAACTCAGCTTAATCACTTTTTTTTTTTGTTTTTTGTGGCTCCCGCCATTCATCTTGTAATCTATTTATTATTGAGAAGTCTAACTGGAGTGGAACGTGTGAAAATAACCTGGGAACCGCCCTCTGATTTTGGAACTGCCGAGACTTATCGACGCGGGCGGGCGCTTCTACCGAAAGAGACAGTTTCCTCTCGTCTCGGTCTCCCTGGCCGCCTCTTAGCCCAGCGGTTCGACCAGTGAGTACTGTTGTTTGATCTTTCTCTATTTCACTGATATTTGTTCGTTTGTTAATCTCTACAAAAGGACAGTAATAATGGAACCTTAGATCTAGTTTGATAATAGTTAAAATAGCAATTGCGATTTCAGTCAAAAGCTAAAATACAGAGTTGTGCATCATAAGATGGTATGGGGAATATAATGAAATTTCTACTCACCATTCATCAATATGAGGATAATTGTTTAATAGTCCATTTTTATGTCCTTATTTCCATCAGACTTCTGTACTTTCCTACTTATTTATTTATGTGGGTGAGTTTACTCCAATTTACATATTTTGTGGTTAATTTGCAGTACTTTAGTGTTCTATTGGTGCAACATAAGTATTGGACTGGTGAGGCCCAATTGGAAACAGTTTACAACTATAAGCTGCAACAAACTGATATTGGGACACCCAATACCAGCTGAGGTGCTATTTTTCATTTACTTTTTAAGGTTTTGAAAAAATTCAATTTACTTTTTAAGGTTTTTAAGGGATGTCTTGGTCTCGGCAATGAATTTAGTTATGCTACTTATTTGTGGCTAGGCTAACGTATTGAATGGACATTCAATGAATATAAAAAGTATATGTTCAATGCATTTTCTATGGATACATGCTGAACATTTGATTTCCTCAGCTTGTTCAGCTACTGCTGGCTTCTTATTCAGATACCACTACACTTGTTATTTATTTGAAAATTAACCTATGCTTTATTCTTATTTTTCTATTCGTGCTAAATTTTATTTAGATTGTGCATTGTGATACCATGGTTGAGGATATGTGGACCATAAATCTTCTATGCGATGGGGCTGATAAAGGAGAGAAACGTGTGCAAAAGAAAATGGATAGAGATGAGATATGCTACTTCAACTTGATGGAAATGATCGAGCATTATGGGTACACATCAGTTGACTATATATACTACAGAAGAAAAGATGGCCTTGTTGCAATAGAACAAGATCCTCAGGTCATGGAAATGCTTGAGGAGTGTGAGAGCCAAAAGATGGTTAGCTTGTTTGTGACAAAGCAAAGACTGGCCACATTAGCACCTACCAATTCCAACAAAGAACCATCCAAATCTCAACCAAATAAAACCAAAGGTATTATAATGATCATATAATTTACTCCTCTAATTTTACTATAAACAGTAAAGTCTATGTTAAGATTTGTACCTTTAATCTCTATATACAAGTTGTAGTTACAATGGAAGCCTTCCTTTTGTTTTAATTTATTATTTATATTCTTACAGTGAAGGTGCCAGGTGCTCGTGCTTCAGGTAACAGAAAATGATATTTTACCACGCTGCATCCATACAAAATTGGCTCTGATTGAATCTGGCATCACAAAAACATCAGCATGTATTTAGTTTTAGTCATATGTTCTTCCATAGATCTTGTGTTCAGTACTGAAAATATTAGTTTAGGCAAAATAAAAAAAAAAAATTCAGACCAGGGTATCATGGTTTGACCTATATATACTATACTATTTTGGCTCTTCAGTGGCTGTGGCAAGGGGTAGAAGGAAACAGATAATTCAGAGTCATGATGAATATTTGTCAGAAGAGCATATTGGACAAGAGAGCCATGGACAAACTACTGAGGCATCTGAACTCCATTCAAGTGCTAGAGAAGATCAGATTGATGGTGATGGTGATATTGAGGTTAATTTCCATGGTACTTACTAACCTACTGCAACTTTTTTATTACTACTAGAATGTGTTATCTATTTATCATTGAATATTTTGTGCTCCGTACACTACATAGATGAAAGTGAAGACAGAGTAAAGCGTGGAAAGACGAAACTGAAAGATATTTGGAACCTTCCAAAAGGTCACAGAATCGTGGTTAGATGCAATGAGCTGGATCAATCAATTGGACTAGAGGCTGGGTTTCTTGAAAAATTTCTTGGCATGGTTGCTAGGAATGGTTGCTTGTGTAGCTTGAGCTACAAGGATTGGAGACTTCTCATAGGAAAGAAAGAGAAAAACACAGATGAACAAAAAAATAAAAAGGATATACTTAAGCAAGTGAAGGTACGTAGTTCTGCTAGGCACTGTATAACCTTGTTGGTAATTTTTGATACTTTTCTCTCGATTTATACTTTTCTCTCGATTTTTGATACTTTTTGATACTTCACTTTCATTGTTTACTGATGTGTTTTTTTTTTTGGCATATATAGATGAGATTCCTGTACCCTTCTCGCATTGAAAAATGGATACTTCGAACCATTGGAGAGAGATGGAGGCAACACAAGTCTAATCTGAAATCAGTATATTTTGATGAGCATAAGAGCACAAAACAAAACCATAGTAATGTTCCTGACGGTGTACATGGTTATCAGTGGATTGCGCTTGTTGATTATTGGACGACACAAAAAGCACTGGTACATGGACATGTTGGGTTCATATTTGTGTGATTTCCATGCCCAGTAGATTTAATAAACATTTATGGAACCTAAATGCTTTTCTCTATCTCATCATTATATGGTAGGATATAAGTAAGAAAAACAGAGTAAACTGTACAAAGAAGAAGTCAACACATACAGCTGGAACAAAGAGTTTTGCTCGAAACAGAGAGGAGTTGGTAAATTCTTTTATAACTCAAACTGTACTCTTGCTACATCTATATGCTAATGATTATGAAGTTCTTCATATCTAATTTTCATGTTCACAGAGGGAAAAAGATCCTGAGAAGAAAAATCCTCAAAGAGTTGTTTTGTATCTCCATACACACCAGATTAAAAGTGAGGACACAAATGCACATGTGGTACGTTGTTTGTGAATGCTTCGTCTTTGATTGTTTACATCAGTAATTTTTCATGTTATTTTTATTTTTATTGGTGGTATGCATAGGAGGCTTTGAAGGAACTTATAGAGCAGCAGCCCTGTTTAGCGGAGACTAGTCAAGGAAAGGTTGCATGGAAAGGAGATGCACTTAGCAAAATATTAGGAGAAGAAAGGCCTGCCATGTGCATGGCTTGGGACTTGTTCCAAATCCTAATCAAGTGTTTGGCGCATGTGCTTCAAAGCGCCTTAAGAGTGTACATTTGACTTCACTAGATGAAACATCAAGTGAAGATGTAGTGTCTTTGAGACTTGAAATGGAGAAGCTTGGGCAGCATGTCCGGAATCAAGATGCCACTATACTACATCTGCAAAAACATACCCAACAGGTAAATTTTAAAAGTTCTATTCTAAGCATTTCCTACAATAACCTTCTGATTCCTTGACATAGGGATGTTTAGGTGATCCTGTCTATGCATCTAAAGATGGTTATTGTGCTGATGTGGCAAATATGAAACGAATGGTACGTAACCCTCTAAAAATTGACAAGAACAACAATATGCTGTATTTTTGTAATAGTTGGTTCTAATTTGTAGTCATTTGTCTATCAACAGCGAGTATATAGTGACCCTCAAAATCAAGATTCTAGCATGGATGGACCTCTGAATAATACAATGGTACAATTGAATTGGATTTTGCATACCATATTTATATCAAAGATTTATTTGTTTTATTTCATCGCAGAATGAGCATGCTGACAATGTGGAGGATGATGATCTGCAGCTAGATTACGAAAACCTTAGTCATGTACAGAAGGTATGCACACTAATATGGATAAGAGCATTTTACTATGTTTGGCACTCGAAAGCTAGGAATGGTTGCCGTTTTAACTGGAATTTTATGTTGTCCTTTAACTGTGACTTGTGACTTGTGCTTGAAGAGGCAGAAACTTATGATGCAGAGAAAAATAGATGATCTTAGCTCAAAGAAACAGGTAAGGAAGCTATTTTTCAGTGATGAATCACTGTAAGGTATTTTGGTTTAAGATTCTTTTGGTTCCTCTATAAAGAAGGTGGTTGAGCACTCATATGGAACCACAAATTTGGACTCATCTACCCCAGCCACAATAAATATTAGCTTATAGGTATTCATGAAGCACTACCTATAGAATTTGTTGGTGAAAGAATATATTAATTTATTCTTATTCACTATAGATGGAGCAAGATTATTATGTGGAGAATGAGGATCTGCCAGCACATTACAAAGATAGTTGTAGTAACGATAAGGTTTGCACACCATACTTAATACAAGGATGCAAAGCAATATATTTTGTTCATTGCTAAATACCGTTATTGCCACTGCTTTTTGAGTTTCCTAACAGAATGGTAGTATACTATTCTATGAACTTTATCAATTTTTTGTATTAAACGAGCACATATTACAGGTTATCTCCAAGGAAACTTATGCTACTCCCTCAAATTTTGAAGCATCTCAGTACCAAGTAAATATCTTTCTAGCATTGATATTTTTGTTAGCTTATTTTCCACAACTAAGTTATTGGTTTTGACTTGTTACCAGATGAACAAGATCTCAAAAAGGCCTAGTGCATCAGTACCTGCTAGTGTATAAGACACATCTCTTAAAACTTCATTTATCCTTTTCTTAAATATTCTTACAACTGGAGTCTAAGAATCCCCATATATACTTTTGTAGAAGAATCATCGTGGCACAACAAGTTTGTCAACTGGCAATACAATGAAGGTATGATTATTCAATTTCTTGGACAGACTGTGATCTATCATCTGGTTATTTATTGTATGCATATATTTGTGAACCAGGTTGGCACCAAAGTATACTTACAAAGATGGAAAAATCGAAATAAGAATGTTGCAATGGGTAAACTAGTGAGTTGTGATCCAAAACAGAAACTTGATGGTGTTCAGCTAGGCAAAGAATTTTGGATGGTTTCTGTTAGTTTTGTAATGGTAGAAGATGAACCATTGATACGACCATACAAAAACTACAAGGTTCTTAGAGATGTAGAAGGAGGAGTCCATGTTGCATGGCCTTCAACTCTTGTACGGTCTTTTCTATAACCCAACATGATTTTAGTTATCATATGTGTCATGTTATTTAATTTAATTTTCATTTAATTTGCAGATCGAGAAGATAGATATATGATCACAACAGAGGAACGCTTGACTGAGCTAAGGAAGGAGAAAGGAGGACAGCTATATATCATGCTAGGAGGGATCTTTTATATGTTTCATATTTGCTCACATAGGAACATGTGCTGTAACGCCCCATTTATTTATGAGTAATTGGATGTTATTGTTATTATTATTGATATTATAATTATTATTATTATTATTATTGCTATTGTTATAATTGTTAGTAACAATAATGTGTATAATTGTCTAATTGATTAAATGTGCCTAATATGTATATTATAAATATTAAATGTGTGTTATAATGCTTTAATTAATTATTATTATTAATATTTATTATTTATATTTTATTTTACT